GCGGCGCTCCTGCCCGAGGGTTCGGATCCCACATACAGACCGGTTCCCGCTCACTGGCTGAGCGAGGTGTGGGAGCAGCACCGAGGGTTGCAATCCCGTTGCCAGTCTCTGGTCCGGTACGGGGGCAACACTGAGGGTTGCGATCCATTGCCAGACACGGAAAAAGACAAAATAAATAAATAAATAAATGGTGTATATATATTTTCAATAAATGGTGTGCATTTTTTTAGTATTTTATTTTTATTATTTTCTGATTAAATCCTTTTGGGTATCAAATGACAGTTTAGAGAGGTACTGAGGGAAAGCAGGAACCTCTGAAATTGCACTTTTCTTATCTTTTTACAGACAGTACTCTTCCTGTCTAAAAGTAACATGCTTTTTATTCCAGTGCCATAACTCGTCCAAGGTAGCACAATCTCAGGGTCATTTTTTCTGAAGGCATTGATGTGATTTACTAAGATGGTGAAGACCATGTAGGTGGAAGTCATTTTTAAGTAATAAAATTAGAGGAATGTAGAGGAATTGCAGAATTCCACTTTACAGACAGATTCTTTTCCTTTTTTCTTCTCTCCCCTCCCCCTCCTTACCTTCCTCCCTGGTGGCCGCCACCGCCTCCTCCTCCACCTCCTCCTCACACAGTTAGAGACATCCTTTTTTCTAGATCCTCAAGAAACACTTATTCTTTCGGACTCCTGAGCTTATCTTACTTCTGCTATTTCCTTAAGACTCTTTTGCCTGCATAACGTTCTCTGTTGCCAATCCTCTCCATCCAAACTTTGTTTTGGGACAAAGACACATGTGTTTATAACGTGCCACCTTCAGCATTCAGTGAGACGTACATTATGAGCATCTAACTCCAGGACAAATTAACTACGTCACTTTGTGCAGTCACTTAGACTTTCCAAGTGCTAATTTCCTTGTCTGAAAAGTAGAAGTGATCAATCTTGCCATGCTTTTGACAGGAGCTGTTGTGCGGATCTATTGAAATATTGCATGTGAAAGTGCCCGCTAAATGTGTACACATGGTGTTAGAGACTTGTTTTTCTGATAACATATCTGTGTATAAGAGGTCACATGTCCTACGGAACCCTCGCTCCCCATCCGTGGACCCAGGGTGGGGGTGGGGCTCAGGTGATGGTTTCCCACATCTCAGCTGTGATGGTGAGGAGCACTGACTCTGGATTCACTTCACAGACGAACTAGCATTCTGCCACTTACTAGCTCTGCAACCTTGGAAAAATTATAATACCTCTCTGATCCCCAGTTTCTTCACTTGTGAAATGTGCCTAATGATACCCTGCTTGGAGGATGGCTGGAAGGACTACATAAACAAGACGTTCGAGGTGGTTAGCAAAGGGGCAGGCACCTGGAAAGTGCCGCTCATGAGCTCTTGCTGCTACTAAGTACCCCATCGCCTCAAACAGTTGCCTGGGGTTCAGTCCTAGCTGCCTCCCTCTGGCAGCCCAGCAGGTAGTATGGTCCCCCTAGTCTCAGACATGCCTTCACAAAGATCAAAAATGGGAAGAGGCAAGTGTCGGTGATGGCACCTCTTAGCTCCTCCTCATGTCAGAACCTGTCCCTTTCTCTCTGGGTACCCAGCTTGCTCTTGGATAGCTGCCACTTAATTTGACTGAGGCCTGCATAGCAGAAGGGCCCCCATTAAAGCTGGGAGGCTAGTTTCCCGTGTTCCTCTCCACTACCTTCCTCCCCATCCCACCATGACCCTATCTGTTACCCAACTTAGTTTTAGTTCATGGGTGATACAATTGCTGCTTACCTTACAGGCCTGACTTTTGATCTTTCAGGGGTACATGTATCTACCAGGAAGTACAATCAAGGAGATCGCCACAAACCCAGAAGAGGCTGGGAAGTTTGTCTTTGAAGTCATTCCAGGTAGGCAGCAAAAGGTGGGACAGAGGTACATTACATTCCCATTTTACTTCTGGATCCGAGAAGTCAAAGCTATATTCAGGGAGTCCTTTAACCAACTAACCAACCAACTTATTAAGAACACATAGTGGTTCTGTATAGTTAATTAGCCTATCCTAGTTCATTAACCAGTATCAAGTGCCTGACAATGCCCATGAACTACATGGTGCACGTTCAGTTCAACTCTGTAAGCGTTTCATGTGTGTGTGCTTAGAGCCAGGTGCTGCATTAGGGACAGGGACACTGACATGGAAAGTGCATCATCCTACTCACTAAAAGGAGTTCAGTCTAGAAGGTGAGTGGGACATTAAAATAGAAATGAAACCATGTGAAATGGCCATTATGGTAGGTCAAAAGAGGTAGAAAGTCAGCAGTTTCATATGGTTCAACATGACCTCATGAGAATGACAGTGCCCACTTCCTGAGCACAGAGCATATGTCAGGTGCTGGATGTCACCTATTGCACACGTGAGTGGCACACTGAAGGGTGCCTCTTCCCCATCAAGAGTTACCTACCTTGAAGGCATTTGGAGCAAGGGGAGTTTGTCTCATCTTCCTGAATCTGCCACTTTGAGGCTGTCTCTCCCCATCTCCCTGTCTCTTACTCCAATGCCAGCCCTAGTAGCCCTGCCAGAACTCTGAGACTGCTCATCTAGCTGTCGAGTCTTGCTGCCACTGCCATACTGACTCTAGCAGGGAAGGCCATAAGTTCCCTGAGTGCCTCTTTCCTTAATTCCCTCCATCCCACTCACACAAGTTGGTTGTGTGCATAAGAAAGTTGATGGAGAAGGCAGCATAGCCTAAAGGTCAGAAGCACCCCAAATCCTGACCCTGTCACTTACTACTTGTGTAACAGGTTACTTAATTTCTCCCTGCCTCTACTTCTTTATCTGTAAGTGGGAACAACAATGACGATAGGATTAAATAAAGAAATCTATATGAAACACTTGGAACAATGTGTATTTGATATTTAGGGGATAACAAGAGGGAGCTATAATGCAAAAAAAAAAATTCTAAAACTGGCTATGACTGTTTATAAAAAACAAACAAAAAATATTTTTTAAGCTTCAACTCTTCTCAGGTGGTCCCCTCACAGGCACTCCATTGCCTTTTTACTTGAAGGTCTATCCCCCTCTTTTCCTCCTGCTTTTTCAGTCTTTCCTTTCTGGGAAAATTCCACCCCTTTCCCACAAAGGGGTCTTCTATTCCTAGGATTCCTCTCCCAGTGCAGTTCATGGGCACAACCATCCATGGTAACACATGTCCCAAACAAAGCCTGGATTTTCAATCTAGGACAACCCTACTGAGAGATGCAGCTGAAAACTCACCATGGGCTTTGCACCAAAAGTCAAGTACCCTCAAAGACTGCTGGACCAGGGGTCTCTCTCTCTCTCTCTCTCTCTCACACACACACACACACACACACACACACACACACACACATCTCATAAGGACAAATAATTCTAAAGCAATAGTAAGGTGGGGAACAATTTTCCTAAAGGCACCGTGGTCTTCCAAGGCTCCACCCAACCTGACCTGATACAACCCTTTATGTTACAATGTAGAGAATTTTCATTTCCTGTCTTTGCCACCCTCTGTGCAAGATGATTCTCAGGGGTCAATCCTGACATAAGATATGGGCTTCCCACTCAAGGTCATCTCTCTATGATCACCAGTTTTAGTTGCACAAAGTCCACATAGATGTCTTTACTCACAGTTATGTTTTTTGGGGGGTGGGGAGGGACAAGCAACATTTTAGGGCAGGCTTCCCTCTCCCTATTGACCTCTAAGAGAATGACTATGTTCTCCTCCCAGCCCAGCAAGCCACCAAGGATTGGGCAGGGGGTGGGTTCCTTCTGCTGCACATGTTGTTTCGTTTAATTCTCATACCACCTATGAGATGTTGTCATTCATTTATACAACAAATTTACTGAGGACCAGCAGTGAGCCAGGTACTATTGCAGGAGTGGGGATCCAGCAAAGAAGAAAACAGCCTTGGGGCCGGCCCGGTGGCACACTGCAACAGTGCGCCGCTTGGGAGCACGGTGGCGCTCCCGCCGAGGGTTCGGATCCCAC